GTCTGCAGCTTGTTCACAGTGTCAATCAACAGTGTGGGAAGTGGGAAGCGAGACTGAGTGCAGTTCGGAAGCCTGGGAGGCGCAGTGGGGCGGAACGGCCGTGGCGTGGGGGTCGGGCACAGCCGCGCTTGGATGCTGGTTTTCTCACTCGGCTTGCCCGTGCTGCTCAGGTTACCGATCCTCTCTAAGCTCCAGGTTGCTCATCTGCAGAAAGGATAATTATAGTACATGTCTCACAGGGTTGTCATAAAGGGTAAACAAAGTAACCTATGTAAATGCCATTAATAAATGCCAAAACATTTTGTTCCCCCTGTTGATGCCTCCTTAAATATACAGCCCCAGTCGTCACCCCCAAAGACTGAAAATAAATCAGAACCACCCTAAGAAAAAACAAAACTGAAGCATGTTTTTGTCTGTATTTCATTGAAATTCCTGAGTGGAGCTAATTCTTCTCCAAGTCATATATTTTTTTTTACCAACACATAAAAAAATAACATAATTTTTAAAAGAATAGTATGTTAGCATGACTCAAGTCTGTAGAGAAGTGAGTTCTGTCTGTCCTTCGGTGTCCATGGAGTTAGACACTCTTCTCTGGCAGTGGCAAGTCCCGTCATGGGAGACGATTATTGATGACACAGTGGGTTCCCATGTCTGGCTTGCTCAGAATGTTTCTCTCCCTCCCTTTCCTTAGGCACACCAACTGCAACGGCCTCCTCTCTGCACCCAGATAAGGGCCCCAACACAGGGCAAGCAAATGCAAACCTCTGCCTTCCAGGAAACCCAGTAAACCTTCCTCCCCAGGGTTGGTTCCAGTAAAAGGTGGGGCCCAGCTGTAGTGGGCAGGAAGCCCAAAACATAATCCCAAACTCAGCAATGACTTCCATTATGGTTTTGGGAGATCATTTAATCACTTTGCCTTGGTTTCCCGTCTTTATAATGAGAATAATAGTCTTACCTCCTCTACAAGTGTGTCCTGAGGGCTAAGAATTTGAGAAATGTGGCTGTTTTGTATTCTCTAGGGTGGAACTTAGAGGAAACGCTAATACCACGGTGGTATAATTGTGGGTGAACTTCCAGCCTGACCAGTTAGTAAACCATATTCCTAGGAGTCTAGGTCCTACCACTGCTCAAGGCCATTATATAGCGAGAGTGAATAATCTTCTTTCTCACTTTCTCTCTCTCCTGTTTTTGGCCCGAGCAGCTTTTTTTCCCCTCTGCTCCTGGACACAGCACTCCTTTCCATTGAGCGTCTGCACCTTCCCCACCTTAACCACAGCACTCCATCTTATCTCACTCCCATTCAGGGGCCCCAGGCAAAGACAAAGACTGGGGCCAGGCTAGTTATAAGACCCCATCTGCCTTAGCCTGGGTTTCCCAAAAAGCAGAATGTTACATGCAGTAGCTTATCTGGGAAGAGGGGCCAGGGAACAGAGTGAGGGAAAAAGGAAAAGTCAATACAAGGATGTGCTATCAAACTGGCCACCGAGGCAGACGCCTGGAGAAAGAGCTTGCCAGGGCGTTTGGAGCGCATTTCAGAATCATGTGCCTGAAGGATGAAAGGCAGCAACATTGATCTGCTGGCCCCTGCCCCTAGACTCATCGGCCCCTATTTCCATGTTGAGCACATTCGAATGCTGGGGAGGTCCTGCAGATGTCCCCCCAGAGGATTTAGAACTGTGTTGGGAAGCGAGAGTCATTCCAAGTTGAGAGAAGGGAGATGTGCAACCCAGAGTCCTAACTGGTAATGTGTAGATTTGGCACCTAAGTAGCCTCTCAGAGTAAGGAACATTATGAAAGAAAGGGACCACCGCCATTGGAGAGCACCATTTTGCAACTGACGATAGTTCAGGAGCCCCTTACACTTGTACTTGGAGACCAAGAGTTTGAGTCTCTGGTAATTGTGATAAATTTTCTACAAACATATTTAGACAACCAGGAAATCCCAAACAATATATTATTTTAGTAGATATATTTATCTAGAGCAAGCTAAGACACTTCCTACAAAGCTGTTATTAACTCAATGACACTTTTAAAATGAAACAGTTCAGAATCCAGGAAACATGATATATGTCAGGGAGATTCACAATGTGGGAAAGCCTGCAAAAGCCTTAACCCTGATTCTCATGCTTAATTACCATCTAGAAATGCACTCTGAGTAGCACAGCATGGAAGCCTCTGTGGAAAGCATCGGGTAAGCACATTTCCCTCAGATGTCTTTTGAGCAATGGATTCAAAGAAGAGGACTGGGAATGCCATTTCTTGGTGGGGGGAAACTCATTCACACATAAGCAACCTGATGCCATCAACAAGAACTTCTATAAACTGAAAGTCAAAAGTAACAAAAAACCTCACTGATAATCTGTGCCCTGTTTTATCAGGCACACATCACATTATGGAATGTCCAGGCAGTCCTTCCTCCTCTTGCACGTTTCCTATATGCACGAATTTCAGTTGCTCCCTGGTGCCTGAGGTCAAATAACACCAGTCCCCCAACAACACAGTCCCAGTATCAGTTACCACAGTATATTAACTGTGAGCAATTGCATCAAGTACAACTCCGCTGCTTGCTCCTCAGGCCACAGATCACTATGTAAATTACAGATGTGCTTGATGATCAGGGACGATCACGTCACTTCCTTCAGAGTCTCTCAGAGACTGGTCCCTTTGAATCTATCATCAGTTCACACACAGACAGCAAAACATGTAGTTGTGTGGCCCCCTTGTTATCCTGTGATGAACCCACATAACATTTTACAGGAATGGATAGTCAAAAGAGACAATTAGCCAACAAAGGCAGAAGAAACAAAAAGTGATAAGGCTGGAAGTGCAAGTTTAACCAGATGCGAATAGAGTTACAGAGTAACACCTGGCCATGCGAGTACTGATGCTGCTGTCGCTTGAGAAATTCTAGCCACGCAGCCAGAGGAGCTTAGTGAGCTTACTGAAATAAATGGGAAAAGTGACTGTGACAAAAACAGTAAGGATGCTGCAGAAAAAAGGGTCATATTAAAGGAACCTTGAGATATTTCATGGCATTGAAAGTGCAAAAAATAAAATATTAGAAGCTGACCCAAATTTAGAAAGGAGTATGATAATTCACAAAAGCATAGAAAAGAGACTTGTTTCCACCATAAGCTTTAAAATAAGAAGTAGGCAAACACTGTTTAAAACTCTTGAAATTTTTTTACAAAAAATAAAACATTATTCTGAATATTTCTAATGTTTTAAATTATAATATGCTAAATACATTTTTGTTTTGTTATTTTTAAATTTTCCTTACACATCTATAATCAATAGTAAGAGAGTTCTTAATGTTTTAATGAACGGTTTGAAGGTCATGAAACAATCTCATTGATTATTGATCACTGATTATTGAGATTGCTTCACACAATTTCAGCTTGCCCAGTCCCACACTACTGAGCAAAACCAAGACTACTTGTAACACTATGATGTTAAGAAGAAAATTCTTGTTGTCCTACTCTTAATCATTTAACAAACATTACTGAACCTACCATGGTTAAGTTGTGTAAGGGACCCACATTCCAAGGTTACACAAATCTTTCCCTCATATAGCTTGCAGCTGAGTTAGAGGGATGGCGAGAATACTAACAATGGTTAATGCTAACATTGATTGACAGCTTTCCATGGTTGGGGCACAGTGCTAAGTGCTTTTCTTACAGTGCATTGCCTCCTAATAACCCCAGCACAGGTGGAACTTTCCAAGCACCATGGAAGAGCTCTGATTGCTTAGAGAAGAGGAGGATCAGCAAGGCCTTTGTGGACCACGGATATGTCACCCTTCTGAGTTCAGGGTCTGCACATGCCCACGTCATGTGCTTATGCTCAAGATAGGCCTGGCCAGTAGCACAGCACCCATCTTTCCTTTCCACATGTACAGACCCTGATGCAGAGGCCGAGGAGGATGTGAGTCATGAGATAGGCACTCCTCAGATGGGCCCATGACACAGCACTACCCAGTCATCAGCACGAGGCAGGAAAATGGCAGATCTTTGCAGCAACCACAGCTTTTTTATGGCTGCACAAGATGCAAACATCTAGGGAGTTTTCTTTTTCTTTTATTAGTTTCAGGTGTACAAAGCAATGTAGTAGTTAGACATTTACATACCCTCACAAAGTGATGACCTCCCTCCCCCAATCTACTACCTCTCTGACATTGTATATAGCTGTTACAATTCCATTGACTCTATTCTCTATGCAGTACTCCACATCCCGTGACTGTATATATATATATATATATATATATATATATATATATATATATATATATATATATATATAAAATTATGGTTGAGATTCAATATTATTCAGCTTCAGATGTATAGTGCAATGGTCAGACATTTACACTGTCCATGAAGTGGTCTCCCTAATAAGACATGTGCCCATCTGACACCCTATAAAACCTTTACATCATTATTGATTATATTCCCCAAACTGTCTTTCATATTCCCATAGCTATATTGTGACTACTAATTTGTACTTTCTAATCCCTTTACCTTCTCCCCCATCTCCACCCCCCTCCCACCTAGCAACCCTCAGTCGTTGTTAGTTTTTTCCCTATATCTCTGAGTCTATTTCTGTTTTGTCTGTTCGTTTATTCTGTTCTTTAGCTTCCTAGTGAGTTTTGTGAATGTGAATGTTAGGCAGGTGTACTCCCCATTTCTCCTCTGCTTATCTAATTTCATGATAGCACATTTCAGAGAGTGAGTTGCTACATAGGAAGATATATCTACCATGATTTCTAATCTGTTTCTTAGACCTTAGAAAACTCCTTCGGCATAAGAAATATAAAAGGATCATCTAAATTTCCTTCATACTCAAAAATCACTAGTGCTAATATGATGTATCTTTGTTAAATCATTTGCCACCAGGTAGTTCCTCTGAGCCTGTGTTATTTAGCCTCCTTTCCAACTATACTATTATGTTTTTCTGTTTTCTTGTAGGCAAAAAAGATTTTCTATATATGTATAGAAGTCAAATATCAAGGTGTCAGCAGAGGTGGTTCCTTCTGAGGCCCCCTCCTTGGCCCGTAGATGGCCGTCCTCTCCCTGAGTCTTCACATGGTCTTTTCTCCGTGCACGTGTTTCTCGGCATCTCTTTAAGTGTCCTGGCATCTCTCTATGTTTCTAAATTTCTTAATCACCTCTTTCAGGCCCTGTTTCCCAGTACAGCCACATTCTGAGATT